ACCACAGCCTTCAGTATGTGTTGTGCCTCAAAAATCCTTACCACTGGACCAATAAATAGCTTCCATATAAATGGAATAAAGCTTGAAATCATCAAAGACTTAACTTTTGCTCAGATCAACTATCAACACTCATTGATCCAGCATTCAAGAAATCAAAAGACATACTGCATTAGGAAAATCTGCTGCACATGACCACTTTAAAGTGTTAAAGAGCAAAGGTGTCAATTTGAGGACTAAGCTGTGTCTGACCCAAGCCATGGTATGTTCAACAATCTCATATACATATGAAATTTGGAAGTGAATAAGGAAGAATATAGAAGAATTGATGCATTTGAGCTATGGTTTTGGAGGAGAATATTAAAAGTACCATGGACTGCCAAAAGAACAAACCAATTTGTGTTGGAAGAAGTATAGTCAGAATGCTTCTTCAAAGCCAGGGTGGCCAGATTTAGTCTGTCATACTTCAGGCATATTGTAAGGAGGAAGCAATCCCTGGAGAAGGATATTGTATTTGGTAAAATGGGGGGTCGGAGAAAAAGAGGAAGGACCCCAACTAGATGAATTGGCACAGTGGCAGCAGCGGTGGGCTCAAATGTAGCAACAATTGTGAGGTTGGTGCAGGGCCAAGAAGTATTTTATTCTGCTGTGCATAGGGTCGCTATGAGCTGGTACTGACTTTATGGCACCTAACAACAAAAACAACTTCCTTTGTGCCAGCTACTTTGTTTACAGTGTCTCCTATAATATCCAAAACAACCTTAAGAGGTAAATGTTGTTATTAGCTTTATTTTAAACTTAAAGTATCTGAGACCCAGAGAAGTTAAGTAGATTTCTCAAGGTCACATAATCAGCAAATGAAAGTTCTACAATGAGAACACTTGACTTCTATGCAATCCTTCCACCATGACTGGGCTCAAATGGCACTTACTTCAGGAAGCCACTCCTAATTATCTCATGTTAATTTAGAGGGGCTTATAAAATCATTGGAACAGTGTCTTCCTCTCAGAATCAATTGTATAATGATGTTAATATGTGTGTGTACAAGGACAACATAAACTTAGGGGTCCTGGGATGGTGTTGTGAGTTAATGTGCTGGACTGCAAGATCAGTTTGACCTGGAAGGAAACCCTATAGAAGATCATTATGAGTTGGAACCAACTCAATGGCACTTAATAACAATAATAAATAAAATGTTAACCTAAGACAGTTCAAATTAGGCAGACAAGAAACAATGAAACAATCTGTTGAAATGAATGGGAGGGATATTATTGGTAAACATGGACCTAGTTAGCATTACCCAATATCCTGTTTATTTTCAAATGTAACAGGAATGCACGAAATAACCAAAGCCCCGGTGTCACGATGCCCCCAAATGACTAGGCATTCTGAGGTGGCTTCTTGTTGCTTTCAAGTAGTGCTGAGTCAGTTTTGACTCACAGTGACCATGTATAGGGTTTCCAAAGAGTGGTTAGTGTGTTTGAACTGCTAACCTTTAGGATATGTTCATTTTCAAGGATTGGAAAGAAAAGTTTGTTGTTACTAGGTGTTGTCTACTAGGTTCCAGCTCATAGTGACCCTGTGCACAACAGAACACAATATTCTTATTGTTTCACTTTGAATGATCACAACAAATTTCTTGTTTTGGGTTACTCTCTGCATGCAAGTGCCTTGGTTCATATACCCAGCACAAATATCCTGCTTTCTACTTTACATCAGCCTGCTGGACAGTTAAGTTTCCCTGACCTTTAAACTTAACATATTTAGAACTACATACATTATCTCTCCCACAAACATACTTTCTAATACAAAGCTATATTCCCTTCACAGTACCTCCCCCTACATCATTTCAGTGAATGACGTCTCCTTTTCCCGCTTGTGCTAAGAAGATTACTAAATAGCTTTGCCTTCTCACTCTCTCCTACTTCCAATTATCCACTAAACACTGTCTAATCTGCATCCCAATTTCTTGCATCCAATCATGTCTTCTTATTCCTCTGTCATTACTTTTGTTCTAGCTATCATATTCTCTGTTATCACTGTTATTACTATTTTGAATGCTCATGCAAAATACCTGAAAGATTGTATGGTAATTCCTTGATCATATTTTCCTTCCCAGACTCAAAGCACCTGGAGATCTGGGACTGAGTCTGTCTTTTTCATCTCTTAATCCCTAGAGTCTAACACATTGCCTGCTCATGGTGGGCACCTAATAAATGCCTTAAGTTGCCATATGCAAGACAAAATTATAACCTTTCTTCCAAGACCCCATAGTAAGCAATGCTCTCTCACGTCTAATATTTAAAACCACTGGATGATGTCTGGGGAAGACATTAGACTGAAGCTACATCAATCAATATTAGTTTAGGATGTTTATAGAGGTTACCTGGCATAGTGGATAAATAAGGATATAAGGAATTTTTAAAACATTCAATAATAATTCATGGACTTTTGACATAACATTTTAAGTGTTAGATGTCATTATAAATATGTGTTTTTCAAAAAATGCTTTTAAAACTAGTAATGTGGATTTCAGAAATATTCCTCTATCAGATAGGCTTTGATTATAGTTATCATTTGTTTTATAAATACTTTCCTGTGACTGTAGATAAAATTTCCAGTGACTAAATCATGTGGAGATTCCGAAAATGCTTCAGCTTAAACAACAGAGGAAGAAATGAAGACAAAATGCTCTAGGAAACTGTGTTGGTGGAATTAACTGGTAGTTGTAATAATGACAAAGACACTGATGCCACAATTACATGAGAAAAGTTTGGACGCATTAGCTGCATAAACTATAAAAATAGCAGAACAGTATTTCAAATTAACAAAATTTTACATAATACATCATTTTAAATACATATGTGTCAACTAAGTTATGCTAAATATGACCGGATAGGAGCTCTGGTAGCGTAGTGGTTACGAGTTGGGCTGTGAACCGCAAGGTCCACAGTTCGAAACTGCCAACTGTTCCGATGAGGCTTACTGCTCCCGTAAAGATTTACAGCCTCGGAAACCCTGTACAGGGTCGCTATGAGTCGGAACTGACTCCACAGCACATAACAACAACAGTCAACAATTCCGTGCTAATTACTGAAAGTTATATATGCCAAGTGTTTAAAACACTTCTTATGAATTGAATAATAGGAAATGGGGAACCCTAAATTGTGTTATACTAGGGTGCAAGTAGATATTTGTTGAATAATTAGTAGATGAATATATAAATTATTGGTGAAGACAAAGTATTAATTAAATCTTAGCTTTGTTGTTAAGTGCTGTGGAGTCGGTTCCAACCCATAGCAACCCTATATAGGGTTTTGGAGGAGCAGCTGGTGAGCTTGAACTGCCGATCTTGAAGTTCAAATGGCTTTGCAGTCTGGCGCATTAACCCACAGCGCCACACTAGGACTCCAGTGTTAACTTCAGAGACCATTTATTTACTAATCCATTCAGCAAACATTGATTAAGCTACTATATAGAAATCAATTAAATAAGAATCAGGATGTTTTCGTACTAAACAACTACTTTTCATTGGAATATGAAAGTAAAGTCAAATATACATATTTTAACTTCTTTTAAAAAATTTCAAACTCACAAAAGAGGGAAAAATAATATAATGAACACACACACACATATATAAAAAGAGATAAGGGGTTTTAATATGATTTAAAAATACATTATAAATTTTTTTTTAAGTTTTTATTGTGAATTGAGTGATAGTTTACATCGGAGAACTTTGGTTTTACACTTATCATTTCATTTCAACTTCACAGATTTTTGAGACATTCATATATATTCATTAGTTGTTATCATTTCTCCAAATCTACTTCATCTATTTAACTTTTCATGAACTTTGTTTCAAGGAAAATTAGAACTGTCATAACACTTGACCCCTTAATATTTCAGCATGCATTTCCAAAAGCAAAGCCTTTCTCCTCCATAACCAGAATATTATCACTCCCAGCAAAATTAATCAAAATTCCTTAATGAGATATCTAACACAGTTCATATTTGAATTTCCATGATTGTCTCAAGTATGTCTTTCATTATCTGTCTGAAAACAAATGACCGAAAATTACATAATTACATAAACAACAAAGCTAAGATCCAATTAAGGAGTACACACTATATGTGGTTGTTGTGTCTTATAAATTCCCTCCACCCATCCTTGTCTTATGAGGGTTGAATTTTTTAAAAGATGGGGTCAAGTGTGTTATAGAAAATCCCATATTCTGCATTATCTGATTTTTTTTTATGAAGTCATTTAAGGTGTTCTTTTCTCCCAGATAATTTTTTGTATACTGGAAGTTAGACAAATTATTTTTATTAAGTACAGATGAGTTGGTTTTAACTCATAACTATGTTGTATAGGGTTTCTGAGGAGGAGCTTGTAAGTTTAAACTGCAGATATTGTGGTTAGCAGTACATTGCTTATCCCACACAGTATAGTTCTCTCACAGAACTTTAAAATATTCAAGTGAAATATTTTGGGCAGAAAAGGTTCTACAACGAGATTGTGTACTGAATATTACATCATGATAGAAGCACAGAGGGGATGGTTCTTACCAGTATTTGTAATATGATTTTATCAGTTGGTTAAGATAGAGAAGCCAGACTTGTGATTAGGGGACCTGATACTATTCCTTATTCATTTTTCATTTAATGGTTTTAGCATCTGTTGAAAATTTCTACCTGAAATAATTATTTAATTGTTGTTAAGTGCTGTCATGTTGGTATCAACTCATAGCAACCCTGTATAGGGTTCTCAAAAGATCGTCTGGTGGGTTTGAACTGCCAACTTTGTGGTTAGCAGTCTAGTGCTTATCCTGTAGTGCCACACCAGAGGTTGTAAAGTAGAATTCACATTTCTGAATACCATCTTCAACAATCAATCCTAAATGTTTTATTGAAAAAAAAAATGTTGAAAGTCCAAATTATTCGGTATTATATTACATGTGTAATGGGAGAGTGCTAACATTTCATTTCTTTTTTTGTATTTTCAGCAAAATGGAAAGCCACATTGTTATAAGCAAATTGTTGAATCCTTTGAGGAACCACCTCTTCATGTTATGGTTTTCACGTACTTGGGATATGGAATTGGAACCCTGTTTGGCCATTTCAGAGACTTTTTGAGAAAATGTGGGATAGAAAAATGCAACACAGCTATAGAGCGTGAAAAACAAAGAGTAAGTATTTGTAGCTTCCCGAATAAGTCAATGTTTATTCTTCTATAAAGTTTTCTCAGAAGTGGAGCTATATGGATAGAACTAATAAGAGTTAGATGCTAAGGAACTTTACAGGGTGCAACTCTTCTATCTTCTCTCACTAATTTCAGTCCCCTCTACATTCATGGACTTAGGTTGTACAAAAGGGTGGTGGAAGAATGTATTTATAAATACCAGCTATGGCCAAGTGACCAATTGCAGAATGGGGAATGTAATTGTTACGAGTATTTTTTCCTTGCATGTGTACATCAGAGATTTTTGTTTTGCTCACTCATAAAATATAAGATGCAAATGAGGAGTCCTGATATACCACTATAGGATAGGCACTAGACCACCAAGTCAGTTTGATTTGAAAGGATGGCACTTCAAACTCACAGACACTTTTCAGAAATTCTATACAAAGTCAGAATTGACTCTGAGCCATTTTCCTCTCTTTCTCAACCAATATATAAGCAACCATGTATATGGTATCCGAGGCACAGTTGGTGGGTTTGATCTGCCAGTCTTGCAGTTAGCAGTCCAGTACTTATCCTATAGTGTCACATCAGTGCTTATCCTTTATATATATTGTTGTTAAGTGCCATAGAGTTGATTCTGACTCATAACAGCCTTGTACAGCGTTACCAAGGAGCAGCTGGTGAATTTGAACCACTGACCTTGTGGTTCAAACCATCCTTGTAGTCCTACACTTATCTTACAGTGCCACACCAGGACTACAACCCTATATAGGGTCACTACGAGTCATAAACGACTCGTCGACACTTAACAACAACAATAAATATATAGGGAGAGACTGGGAGAGAGGCAATGTTGGATAAGCACTCAACCATAAGGCTGGTTTGAACTGCAAGGCTGTCGATTCAAATTCACCAGCCACTCTTTGGAAACCCTACACAGGGTGATTATGAATCAGAACAGACTTGACAGCATTTAATAACAACAACAATAGATGATGTACATACATATATACACACACACATATATAAGGAGCTCTGGTAGCGTAGTGGTTATGAATTGGGCTGCGAACCTTAAGGTCAGGAGTTCGAAACTACCAGCCACTCCACGGGAGAAAGATGAGGC